CTGACTTCAGATCTTAACATTCTTCTGTAGGAAACCTCCCCGCCCCTGTGGAGGATCCTTGGTCTTCTCACCGAGCCTGCCCCTCTGCTCACTCTCAAAGCTATCCGCCCGGCACCAATTCCCCAGTCCATGCTTGAATACGAAATGCAGTGTTCTGCGATGGAACTACTCATGAGCCTTTCCTGTTACAGCACTGACTTCCTGGATCCTGGCTCCAGGCCTCCCTGAGACCTTCGGCTCCCTCCTACTTGAGGGATGCTCCTTCCCACTCCCTACCTTATGGACCCTTTTTTCCCCTTCTTTCTCCTCCCCTCATGGCTCTTCTCTGTCTCAACTCAGGCCAGGTTTTAGCCACTGCTGGGCTCGGAGTCAAATCATAGACTTACCCACCAGGACCCCCTGCACGTCATCACCTACTTCTTGGTTCTTTGAACTGCTTGCACACAAGTTTACACAACACCTAGCAGGTCCTCAGCTCTGTGAGGTGCAAGAAGGCATAGTTTGCTAACTTGTAGGGAGCTCACACCACACACCACTGCCTTTTTGACTTCTTTGGGTTCCTTTGCAGCCGTGCTGTACCTGCTGCCATGTCAGTGACTTAAAGTGTTCATTTTCCCTGTATAGAAATGGGCATTGGTCTTCTGAATATAAATGTAATGTATGGGGACTTCTTAATGTTATTGTACTTTGGGGGCAACTGCTGTCTGCCCCCACACTGCCTGAATGAGTTCCCTGTCTCAGCCCCCACCATGGCTGTAACCAGTTGGCCTGTGGCAGTCATAGCCAGCATTGCTACTCATCTACAGCTCCAGGAAAATCTCAGCACTGGAGCCAGTCTTGGGCCTGGCATGCTCTTCCTGCTAATTGACCCGCTATCCAGCATGTTGGGCAGGAGTCCTGGGGCCCTCCATGACCTCCAGAGTGTAATTCTCCCCACTGGTGCTGTCTGGATCTCTTTGATGGGGCCTCCTGGAACTTCACATTCCTGCTTCCAGCTTAGCTGGATACCAGGCCCCATAGAGCCATGGTGTGGCTGAACCCGAGCTCCACCTGCCATTCCATGTCTCCCCAGGTTGCCCAGATCACACCTGAGTGTGTTCTGCCCTTTGACACTGCTCTAGGCCTGTCATCCTCGATTCCAGTAGGCCCAGACTCTACAGCTTGGTGCCGGCTCCTGAGCCTCAGGCCCACCTCATCCCCAGGCCGCTCCTGAGGTCCCTAGCATTCCATGTCCTGAGCCAGCTGGATGCTGTTCTGATGGTCTGCCCTGCAGGCCCCCACCCCTGCTGAACCCATCCGCTGGGTCAGAGGATGGCTGCCAGTGACCAGGGGGGGGTTTCTGTCCATCACACACCCCTACTTCTAGCTCCTTCTCTTATTCTTGCCACAAATTAACTTTTTTCTTTTTATTGCCCAAAGATCCAGTGAAAACTATTCTCTGATAATAACGGTAGTAAACACTTAATGAACTACCATGTGTGTTAGGTACTGTTCAGGCACCTTACATATATTGGTCACATCATCCTCACAAGTCTTTTAAATATGAAACATTATCTTTGCTTTACACATGAATAAACTGAGGCACAGGATTAAGGGATGTGGCAAGAGCGCGACAAGCTGAGGCACCTGATTACAGCCCCCCTCCGTGCAACCACACTGCAGGAGCCACAATTTCAGGCTTCTAGGCACTTAGGCTTTCCCCAGCTCTGACCCTTATGTTTCTAGAATCTTCCTGACATTTGTTCCCTTATTCAGATCCGAACCCTTGTCTCTTCTCTCCTGGTCCTGGCCATCTTGTTCTCTGTTGCCTTCGGCCTGCTGGCAGAGAATAAACTAAGGACTACAGGTTGGCACTGGGGATTTTGCAAAGTGCATAATCCACGTGCGAGTCATTGAGAGTTGACTGAAAACCCAACTAGAGGCTCCCTTTAAGGCCCACGTCTGGGTCTCCTCCCTCATTTCTGGGCCTATCTTGTCAGCTCTGCTCTGTAGCCACCACTCCTGACCCTAGTCACCAGTCACAACTAAAAGATGAATCCTGACCCTCCATCCTTGCCTTCTCTGCAGCCAGGAGGTCACCTGGAGTCTTTGCACCATTATAGCTGCTCGGGAGTCCACTTCTGCTTCAGCATATGCTGTAGGGTGTTTGCCAGCTGGGTCATCCTCTGAGGACAGGTTTCTGGCCTTCTGAAGGGCCAGCCAGCCACCTGACAGTCTCAACTCCCCTCACTCAGCCCACATCAAGCATCTGGGTTATTAAGAGGGGGAATTCGGTGTTTACAAGGGAATCAGAGCTGTCAGCAGGACATAAATATTCATATAGGGAGGCTAGAGCTTGAGTCCCTAAAACCTTGATTTGTGTTTGTCTATTTGAGCCTCATTAAAAAGTGGTAAATGAAAGTGGGGATATTCAGTGGAACTGCAGATAAATTGGGCTTGTTCAGAGAAAGGCCTCTAGCTGCCAGCTCCATAGGCCCTGCCCAGAGCACAGTGGCTGGTTGGCTTGGCCACTTGTGGTTTGCCAACCTCAATTCAGAGTTTGCTTAGCATGAATTCCTGGTCTTGCTCTGGGCCAGTTAGTGCTTGTTTGGGCACCTGGTAGCCTTCTAGGGGTGTTTAGGGATGGAAATCCCCAACCTTTTTCCTTCCCAGAATGACATCCAAACCAGGGCCTGGCCCAAGGGGTGGCAGAGAGAAATCTAACTTAGGACTAATACTTGCACTGGGTGATCCACAAAGTCCGTATCTATGTGCATGTATAGTTGCTTCTCTTTCTCCTTCCAGCTTCTGTGGGCACAAGTAGCGGGTTTCAGAGACTGTTGTTAAAGGGGGCCTAAATCCGCCTCCATCTCCTTGGCCCCAGCTATGCCCAAACCTACTCCATGGCTGCAGAGACTGCAGTGGGCCAGGCCTTGTGGCCACAAAGAGGAGACAAATGGCCAACATGATTTCTAGGACAGGAGCTACAAAGTCAGGCATCCCTAGGGGCCAGGAAGTCACATACATGACTGGAGTGGGCCAATCTGGGCTAGAGTTGAGCCCCAGGCTACAGATTTATCCCATCTGCCTCGGGGCTCCCAGAGTTTGGGAAGATGAGGTTTGGACACACAGAGCTGGAATGACAGAGTTTGTGCTCAGCCTCAAGAGAGGACTGACTAATTTGCTGGGGACAGGAGGCAGTGCCCTTCTAGTAGAGAGGTCTCAAGGGGGAGGTAGAGCAACTTCAAGAATTAATTTTCGCTTGGGACCCAGCATGGCATTTGGTGCCCTGATTGGAGTTTCTACACCGTGGAATGGAAACAAAGTCTTGGGGTTCTGATGGGCTGGGCTCTGTGTGTTGGGGGTGCTGCTGTGAAAGGGGGGGGTCACGTGGCAGCCTGAAGCACCTGCTGCTCTCAGCTTGGGCTCCCTGGCTCCACTAGCCATTGCGTCAGGCTACTGCTGTTCCTGGAATCTGGCTCCCCAGAGCTCATTTTCCTACAGCTCCTATTCTAGGATGGTCTTTGACCTCCCCAGGCACAGGCCCCATCTCCTGGCTAGAGGTGTTTCCCAGGACAGTCATCCCTTTGGTGCCCATTTGCACAGAAATGACACAAATTACCAGGCAATTAACTCAAGCCTGTGCAGTTGCTCCCTCCCACGGGGCCCTGCTTCCAGAGGTGGAGTTGGCAGCAGGCTGGGCTGCAGAGAGGGGAATAGATGGTGCATTACCTGTGCCGGGCATTGGGATGAGGGAATGTTGCTGCCCCGGGATAGGTGTTGACCAGAGAGAAGGGCAGATGGCCCAGGGACTTCAAGTACAATGCTGACACTGGCCCCAGAACGCCTCCCTGGGACTCTGGGATTTGTAATCATTGGTTACCGTCTCTTCAGGCGTCACTCTGGAAGGGACTGGAGCAGAGAACTGACTGAGACCAATAAGGAGACAGGGGTGTTCCACTTTGACTCCTCGGAGAAGTAATTCTGTTTGGGGGACCCTGTCTTCCACTTGTGAAATAGAGGTCATATTTGCTATCCCTCCTGTGGACGTGGTGAGAATGAGATAAGTCAGATGGAAAATTGAGCACTTTGGGGCCCTCTGGGCCTTCCCACCCACTGAAATCTAGGCTCCTGCCAGTAGGCGGTGGTTCGAGAAAAGCAGGCCCAGGCCCAGAAGGGTGGCCAGTTAGATGCCTGGGAGCAGATGGACACAGATGAACTTTTGAGGCCAAATGCATGATACCAGGAACCAGGCTTGGATGATCCTGTCCAGTACTTTATGTGAGATTTTCCCACAATTCAAATTATTTTATCAAGTACACATCTCTGAAATTATAATAAAAACAAAGAAAAACGATACCTTTGGCAACTTCAGAAGTTATTTTGCCCACAAGTCACAGCTACCTTGATGATGGGCAATGTTTTTACTCTAGAACCCAGTCGGAAAGAAATAGAAGTGTTTTGCATTTTTTAAAACAGTACTTTCTATTGATTCTCATGGAAAAATGTATTTTCTTACAACTTAGAATACTTTAAGACAAAGTGTTATCAATGGGAAAAATACCTCTGCGTTTTTGCCCCTAGATGTGTAATCACCCATCCCTCACATGTGTGGAGTGCATTGGAAAGGCAGGGCCTTCCTGAAGCATCTCACTTCATTCCGGAATACGTCTGTGTGGCAGGCGTCTGCCGTGTTCAAAGCTCTCGTTAGTCCTGTTGTGGGGCCCCACTGAGGCATGTGCTGGGGAGACAGTGACTAAGGGGCTCTTCCTGTCTGTACCCAACTCATGATTTGGCCCACTGGGTCAGGGCAGCTGTGAGATCCTGAACAACACCCCCAACTATTTCTAGTGGGGCTCAGGGGGTACCATGTGGAGGTAGAGGACAGCAAATGTTAGGGGTTGCGGGGGGCTGTCCCAAAAGACTCCTAGAGGCTTCCTCCTCCCCATCTCCAAATCCTATTCTGAAAGTTGAAAGGCTCTGCTGCCCATCTCTAGCTGCTGGTGTGCTGTATGTTTCAGATTGATGGGCTGGAGGAGAAGCTGTCACAATGTCAGAGGGACCTAGAGGCTGTGAACTCCAGGCTCTGTGGGGCGGAGCTGAGCCCAGACGCCAGGTAAATGCTCCTGCCGATGCCCTCTGCCCCCTACCCTGCCCTCCTTCAGCCCTTCATGTCTAGCCTAGGCCCTGAGCCTCTAGTTCCCGCTCCAACTGCCACCAGAGACCTGGGCCCTTGTCCAACCTGCCCTGGCAGGCCAGCTGCCCCTCTGGTGGGAAGAAGGAAAAGGGCTTGAGGCGTAAAACTCCTTCCCCCTCACAGGAAGTCTCTGGAGAAGGAGAGAAACAGCCTGATGAACAAAGCCTCCAACTATGGTAAGAAAGTTCCCTTCTCTTAACAGCCCCACCCTCCAGTACCAGAGTCAGGAGGGGCGGGCAGCCCAGAGACTCCACAAGGTGACAGGGATCCCGGAGGCTGCAGGAACACACTACAGGCCTAGCAGCCTGGAAGAGCAGGTTTGTGCCTTTGTTCCAAGGGAGATGGAGTGGCCTGTAGGTCTGTCTTCCTGGAAATGAAGGGGTACAGTGGTAGCCAGGCTCCGAAAAAGTTCTCACATCCACCCAGACTTGGGAGGTCTCTTTTCCCTGCCCACTCCTCCCAGACCTCCACTCCACCTAGAGAAAAACCCTGTGGCGGGAGGGCTGCTGGGCCCATGGTGAAGGAAGATGAGCCGCCCACTTGGGTGCTGGGAAGGGGTACAGGGGTGGAGCAATGCTGCCACCTTCTGGGTGCTGGGCGCAGAGCCAGGTGGAGCCCAGGCAGGGCAAGGAGGGCAGCTGCTGGGCCCATTACCATCCCTTCCACCACTCTGGCCCTGCTGGCCTGGGAGAAGGATGGTCCACAGAGACTCCTTGACTTGTCTGCTCTACTCTCAGGAGCCAGATTTGGCAAGAACCAGCCCAGAATAGTCCACATGGCAGGGAACCTTCCAGGAGGGCCATTTTGAAAAAACACTAAGCACAGTTCATGTGCACACACACACGCCTGCCTGGGCCCTGGGCTCCGTCTGGTCTGCAGGTGTCTCCCTGCTCCCTCACACAGGTAGAGGTGGGATATCAGTTCCCCCTCCAGCCTAGCAATTGTCACACACCTGGGGTTGAATGAAGACTGTGTGGCTGTAGAGTCGGAACTGGTCTCTAGAGATGAGCCCGACTACTTCATAGCACAGACCACCTCCTCTTAGCATCCCTCACTCATTGGCTGGGCATCCAGCAGAGGGTGGGACTGGTAGCAATGGTGGTGTGGTTCTACCCTGTACCTACCCCAGCGTCAGAACCAAAGAGGTCCCAGGTGCTCTCAGAGTTTCTGGTTGAGAAACTGAAAGGATGGGCACCACAGAGCCCACCCAGGCTGAGGTTATAGTTCTGAGGACTCACCTGGTGATGCCATGCCACCACATAGCTTGGCTTTCGCATGAAGCCTTTTGGGTGACCCCCTCACTCATCCCATTCTCAGCTTCAACTGCATTTGAAGAGAAATGGTTGAGCAGCACTGAGTGTTGGGACTTTTCAGGGCAAGGACAGTCATTTTCACAGATAAAGCAGTGGCTGGTAGGGAACACCTCTGCCCTTAGCAGCGCGTGAGCCCATTTGCGAGAGAGGCAGAGGCAAATGAGAGTAGAAGATGGACCCAAACTACCCAACACCCTGTATCCTCCCAGAAAAGGAACTAAAGTTGCTTCGGCAGGAGAACCGGAAGAACATGCTGCTCTCCGTGGCCATCTTCATCCTTCTGAGCCTCATCTATGCCTACTGGGCCATGTGAGCCTGAGATTTCTCCAGAGTCTGCAACCTGGTCACAACTAAGCAGGCCCTTCAGGCCTCAAGAGGACCAAGGTACAGGGACATTTCTGCCCCACACAGATACTACAGCAGGGCTTCCTGTTGGCTCAGCCCGTTCAGCCTCCCGGTCCTGCTGTGGGGCCTGGGTCTCCAGGACTTTGTGCTGGCTCCTCCTCTAGCCCAAGGGAGAAGCAATAAAGAACACCCAGGATGCACCTGTCTGCTAGTCAATGTCATGGTGCGACTGCAGCTTGGGGTGGGGGGCGGGGGGCACTCAGGAATCAAGGAAGAGATGTTAAGGGAAAGCTCTTAGCTTAGAACTCAGAGAGGAGAAGCAGGGCTGTGAAGGTGAGCCCCTAGCTTAAGTGGGGAATAAGGAGACAGCAGAAAGCACCCTCCAAGTCAGAACTACACTGGGAGCCATTTCTAGGGCTTGGGAAATGTGCCATGTGTCCACCGCCCCCAACAAACACACTGCCTTGCTCAGCGCCGCTGCCTGTAGTTGTGGCAGAAAAAAAATGTAGCTTATGCAGCAAAAGGCAACTTGGGGACTTGAAGTGGTCATGTGGCAGTCCCGCAGACACAAGGAGTTAATCCGTCTTCAAGAGGCAGGCAAGCTGGTGAGGTCTGGCGGAGTGAGTGGGCAACAGGAGCCATGGTAATGACCAGGCAGACTTATAGTGACAGTGGCCAGTAAATCAGGCGGGGTTTGCAGGAAGAAGCAGTAGAGGTGGGGCCGATTTGATGGGGAGACAGGAGCCACACACACAGACATCTCATACTGCCCCTGCGCACATCTCCAACCCTACCCCCAGCACAGGGCCCGGGAGTCTGGACCTGGGGGGCTAGAGCAAGGCAGAGCGGTGTAGGGCAACCAAAAAGGTGAATGACTTGGGAGCTGAGAGCATACCAATTAAGTAAAAAAGGAAAGGAGTTGTCATGGGAGCTCAGGAAAGGACCCTTGAGGCCAGGGTGAAGGAGCCAAGCAAAGTGCAGGCAGGCTCTAGGAGAAAACCAGCACCAGTGATGGAACTGGTGAAGACACTAGCCTAGAATGGAGCGGGAGGTGCCATCTGCACCTGCACGTCCCCCACCCCCAAGCACAGCACCCGGTGCAGAAGGAAGGAGGGATGCTGGCTGGGGGGGTCAGTGAAACCATCTCTTCCCTCTCCCTCTAGTCTAGTGGCACTAACTGGTCTGACACCTGTGTTATTTTAGTCACACAGACTGATTCTGGGTTGTCACAATACCACCAGCATGAGCTGCGTGATTTGTGTTCAGGGGGAAAGTGCCTCCCTACCCTGCTGGGCTGTAGGTCCATTCATCCTCCAGTCCCAGCTCCTAACAGGAGCTGCATAATTTCCTGACTTCCTTGGGCCCCTTTCTGGCAGCCAGTAACAGCTCTGGGAGCCCTGAGCTTGGGCAAGGCCTGATTAAACAAATCCTCTCTTCCAGCACAGCTTCTTCCCCTTCACCTTCAGCCCAAGCCGTTTTATCCAAGGCAGTCCCAGACCGCAAAGTACCGAGGACAACCTGCAGCAGCCCCAGCACAGAGCCACACAGGCATTAAAAATATGTTTATCTTTAATGATCCAAGATTTCGCAAGACACACTGACATACCGAGAACTGGGTGGAAATACAGCATTTTAGCAGTGCTGCTGCCAACCCAGTGGGGGAAGGGGAGATTGGATGCTGGCTGGAGACCTGCCCCACCCATGTGGAGCCAATTCCAACCTCACAGGAAGCCTCGGTGCCCTATCTCCATGGAAACCAGTCTGGCACTAGGATGGGGCCCTATGGAGCCTGTACAAACATCTCTGACAGGTGCCCCACCACCCAAAGCTACTGCCCAGCTTCCCCTCTTCCCCCTTCACCACCACCAGAGAAGATAATGACCATAAAATGACAGAGTGACTGTACCCCCTACTGGAGCGGAAAGGAGGGAAGGGTAGCAAGGTGGCTGTGGCAAATGAGGGTGTCATAATTGCCAGAGGGCAGGGTGCGACCCCACCACAGAGGTGCCATCTGTTACAGTGGGGCCACTGCTGCTGGGGCATAGAAAAGGCAGGGCTTCGAGGATGCTCCCCTTCTAGAGCCGCCCAAGATTCAGGTAAAAAGGGGATAGGGCCCCGGAAGGCTCTATCACCCAAGGAAGCAGTCACATCCACTCCCAAAAGCAGTGCTACCTGCATCCTGATGTGGTATTAGGGACATGGGGCCCACACACCTCCCTTCCCGGCCTGCGGGACTGTCAAGAGGTCTAGGCTGCGAAGAACTCCAGGAAAGACCGAGATAGGGTAGGGGATGAGACAAGAAAATCTTCTCCAACTTGGCATCAAAACAGAGCAAGTTTAAAGAAACAAAACCTTGATTTGTACAGTAGCTGCTCCTGGCCAGCTCACGACAGTGGGCCTTCACCCACTCAGGGTTGGCCCAATAAAAAGTTGGGCAAAGCTGGGCCATGGCCGCCCTCAGGGCAGTGCATGGAACTCAGAAAAGTGAGTCTACAGGATACAGGAGAGAACAGCAGAGCTAAAGCCCTGGGCTCTCTGACATGTCCTTCACCAGCCCCACATGCCCTGGGCCCTGACTGCAAACCTGCCATAGGAGCAGCATCTTTCCTGGCAGGGGAGACAGTTCCCAGGCAGGTCTCTGGGGAGGCAAGTCTGTGTCCCAGAAGGAACCCGTGAGTGTTCTCTGAAGGCCCCTCGCTGAGCTCTTCAGGGGAAATGGAGAGGAGACCACCCACTCCTCATGGCCAAGTTGCAGTGACTGTGCTGCTGTCCCTTTCCAAGGATGAAGGAACCAGTACTGTGTGCCCCAGGCAGAGCACACTGACTCCAAACGACAGGGCATTCAGCAGGAGTGGGCGTCCCTGGGCGCTCAGGCGCTGTGCATCTGGATGAAGGAGAGGACGTCCTCCTTGGATAGCTTTTCTGGGTCCTGGGGCTTCTGGGAGTCATGCACACGGATGCCATCCCCCCACTCCCAGAAGAGCCGGCCATAGTAGCAGATGCTGGGAAGGAGAAAGGAGGTCAGAGGGCTGCACTCGGGTGGTGCAGGATGTAGAGACCACCACCCTACTCCTGGCAACTGTGGCTTAAGGCAACGGTCCCCAGCCTTTTTGGCACCAGGGACTGGTTTCACGGGAGACAACTTCCACAGACCCAGGGGGCAGGGGGCGTAACAGGAGGCGGAGCTCAGGCTGTAATGCCAGCAGAGCTGTGCTAGCCTGCCCACCACTCACTTCCTGCTGTGCAGCCTGGGAAGGTGCAGGGGCTAGTGTTGGGAACACCTGGCTTAGCGGGGGGTCTTCCCTCTGGCAGTCAAAACTCCAAAAGGCTCCAGCTCCTCCTCCTCGCCTTCTAAAACCAGCTTTTCTGAACAAACAGCGGCTGCTTGCTGATGGCATCCAACTGGATTTCTACAATCACTGACATTCCTGGTTTACCTATGTGTGCTATTCTGATAGGATTAGCGGGGTGACAGGAACTAGTGTCAATGGCTCATTTTAGGCACATTAGGACTACTGGTAGCTGTTGAAACCTATGATCAGCAACCTGGCAAATGGACACTGAGTCCTGAGAAGGGACACTTGGGACCCTGAGTTTTGAGGGGCTGCGCTGTGGTACTCAGCATGTTCCCACCACCAGGCCAGTGTTATGTAAGCTGCTCTGTGGGGCAGATGCCCTGCCTAAGTAGGGCCCTTCACACCCTGGAGGGGGCCACCCTCTGCATCCTTGTGGGGAGGAGCCCAGCCCTTGCTCAAGGGAGCCCCTGCACAGGCAGGCTTGGAGGAGGGCTACTTACTGAAATGGGGCAATGGAGTCTGCAGGGAGCTCATAGGTAGAGGTCCTGGTTTTCTTGTTGTAGAAGAACTTCCTCTTAGAGCTTTTGCTGATTCCCATAGTCCATGGCTCTGACAGGAGGGAAAGGAGAAGCAGCCCAGAGAGGACACAAACCCATGGGGGAATAGGTTAGGCCAAGGCAGGGGCGTGCCTTCCTCCACTTCCCCGAAGTACAGGCAGAGGCCAGCCTGTGAAGATTCAGATTTCACACCAGCCCAAAGAGGCTCCAGAAGAATGACTAAGATAATTAACAACCCCACCTAGTCCTGCCAGCCTGGATCAGGGCAACATCTCTGGGACCCTGGCAGAAGGAGCGTGACTCTGTTAACCAGAGGGCTCTTAAGGAGAGGATTCTACAGGGGGTGCAAATGTCTAAGACTAACTTTCTGAATCTGTCACTACCTACTGAGAAATCCTCTTCCTGCCACGAAGACACCATGCGCATGTATGAGTTGGGTTCCTCTCTTCCCAGCCCCAGCCTAACCACCAGGACCCACCAAAGAACAGAAGTGGCTCAAGGCACACAATCCCCATGCCCCCCATGCATCTTAAAGAAATGCCAGCCTGGCTGCTCCCCATTTGTGTAGAGAACCCTTAGCTCTGGCTTAAGCAGGCCCTGGGCCAATCACTCTCTGACTGAGAGGACCAGGGACGGAACAGTCACTTATCACGCACCATTCACTGTCCTGACGATGTAGAGGCCAGTGGGCACGAAGTGCCGGTCGTCGCGCCCTGTGTAGCTGAGCTTCGGTGTGCCACTGGAGCCCTTGATGATCTTCATCTCTAACCTGAGTTCCCCAAGTAGGTGTGTGAACAGGGAGTGTGAGTGTGTGCATGAGAGAGAGAGAAAGCCCTAACATTAGTCTCTTGCTACTATCAAAAATCACACCAACCACTGTATTTTATCTCAGTGCGACATAAGAAGCTGAAGCAGAGACATGAGTGACCTGCTCCAGGCCACACTGCAAGTGAGTAAGTGCAGTGCTGACTTCAGAACTCAGGTTCAGGCTCTGAACTCCCAACCAAGTAAGTAATGGAGGCAGGGGGATAACAGATGTCCGTGATACATTGCTGTTGTTATGATTTGGGGTGAGACCAGTGAGGGTAAGATCTGAGACTGTGGGTGCCACTGGGTCTTCAGTCCACCACCCGTGGCATCACTGTGGCCAGTGAAGAGTTAACGTGAAAGCACTGAAAACAGAGGCCACAGCAGCGCCCACCCAGGATGGACCGCCCACCCAGGATGGACCGAGAGATCCGAGCAAACTCCACACAGCTAAGAATCCAAAGAAGCAGTTATGCCCCCCCTAACCCTCCAGGCTCAATCTCTCTGTCAGCACCAGGAGCTGGGATTTACAGTGTTTCAAGCAGCTTGCTGCTCTGCCCCTCGCAGGGACAATCGTAACTATTATAGCATCAGTGAGCCCGTATTTCTGCCTGACATACACCAGCCTGCTCCCCTCCTGACAGGGTGCTGAATCAGCTGTCAGCCGGGGGGCTCCTGGCTGCAGTGGAACCACACTGCACGAGGCAAGGGAGGTAGGGGTAAAGGCAGCTTGCCAGGGCCAACTTACCACCCACCC